GGCTGTCTCTACGGCTCGCTAAAGCTGCAGCAGCAGCAGCAGCAGCAGCAGCAGCAGCAACGGAAGCAGCATCACCAACTTTAGAGGGAAGCGGTGCACAGCCTGAAGCAGCAGGAGCTGCATCAGCAGGAGCTGCAGCAGCAGGAGGAGCAGCAGCAGCAGCAAAAACGCAGTCGCATGCATTTTTAAACAACTTGAACAGAGATGCAGCAGCAGCAGCAGCAGCAGCAGCAACAACAGGGATGCTGCCAGGGCCCCCAGATGTTCACCTGCAGGAAAAAATCCCCTTACTAGGTAAACCACTAACAGGCCCAAACCCTAAACCCTAAACCCTAAACCCTAGTGCCTTAGGGTTTAGGGTTTAGGGTTTAGGGTTTGCTGCTCGTGGCAAGGGTTTAGGGTTTGCTGTGAGGACTTATGATCCAAGGCTGACGGTTAAGGGTTTGCTGCGCAAGACCTTAAGCTTTTAGGGTTTATGGCTTAGGGTCTAGGGGTTTGTATATTCAGGGTTTAGGGTTTGCGTTTAGGGTTTAGGGTTTAGCAGTTAGCGTCTGCGCTTAGGGTTTAGGGTTTAGGGTTTATGTTTACCTTTCAGGATTAAGGTTTATGGATTAGGGTTTGCGTTTAGGGTTTGCCTGTAGGGTTTAGGATTTAGGGTTTAGGGTTTAGGGTTTAGGGTTTAGGGTTTGTGGTTTTGCAGGTAATATAAAGTGGGTTCAGGGGCTTCACTGGCCTGGGGTTTGTCTACAATATAAAAAACAAAATTATTTTTATTCAGCTCTTGCTGCAACTACTGACTGCAGCGCAGACGAAACCCTTTTTGCTGCAGTGCTGCTGCAGCACCAGCAGCAGCAGCAGCAGCACCAGCAGCACCGGCAGCAGCAGCAGCAGCAGCAGCAGCCCTTGCAGCAGCAGCACCAACAGCAGCTGCAGCAACAAAAACTACTCCAGCAGAACCACCAGCAACACCAGCAGCAGCAACCCTTGCAACACCATCAGCAGCAACAACAACAGCAGCAGCAGCAGCAAATCCAGCAGCAGCAGCAGCAGCAAATCCAGCAGCAGCAGCAGCAACAGCAGCAGCAGCCGCAATATATTCAAATTCGGGGTGTACATGCAGTTGAGGCTGAGCGCTGCTTAAACGGCGAACTCAAATCAACTCCCTGTGCCCCTCAAAACCACGACCAGTGGTAAAACCCTAAACCCTAAACCCTAAACCCTAAACCCTAAGCTCTAAGCTCTAAGCTCTAAGCCCTAAACCCTAAACCCTAAACCCTAAACCCTAAACCCTAAGATCTAAGCCCTTAACCCCATACCGTAAGCCTTAAGCTCTGATGCCTCAACCCTTAATCCTAAACCCTAAACCCTAAATCGTAAACCCTAAGCCCTAGACCCTCAGCCTCTACTCTAAACCCTAAACCCTTGAGCAGTAGCAAGGGCATCATTAACGAATAAGTTTGCTGCAGGTGGGTATACACCGACGAGTTGCTGCTGCAGCATGCAGCAACAAACAGCTGTCTCTCCATACACTCAGAGACGCTGCAGCCGCTGCTGCTGCCCTGCGACGCAAAAAATGTTTACCAGGTAAATTATGCTGCTGCTGCTGCTGCTGCTGCTGCTGCTGCTGCTGCTTCTGCTGCTACTTTGGCTTCTGCTGCTGCTTTTGCTTCTGCTGCTGCTGCTGCTTCCGCTGTTGCTTCTGTTTTTGCTGCTGCTGCTGCCTTTCCTGCTGTGTTGGTGTTGGCTGCTGCTGTGCCTCCTACTAATGCTGCTGCTGCTGTTGCTGCTGCTGCTGCTGCTGCTGCTGCTGCTGCTGCAGCACTGGAGATGGCCCCCTTCTGTCTTCCGCGCTTGGCTTTACCTGGGGTCAGAGGAGCGGCTAAAGGCAGCAGCTTTTGGTGTGCAGCAGCAGCAGGAGCAGCAGCAGCAGCGGCTGCTTGAGCTTGGTAGAGCGAAGAAAATCCCTAGAAAACCCTAAACCCTAAACCCTAAACCCTAAACCCTAAACCCTACGACAACCCCCAGCTCCGCATGGAGTCATCGCTAACTCTGCTGCTTCATCTTCTTCTGCAGCAGCAGCAGCAGCAGCAGGAAATTGAGCTGAGGCTTCTCTCAACAGCTGCTGCACCTCTGTAGGCAAGGAAGAGTCTTCGTCTTCTTCAGTTTCCTGCTGCTCCTGCTCCTGCTGCTGCTCCTGCTGCTGCTGCTGCTCGTCGCTCGTTGAGACGCCGCGGGCAATAGGGTCAACAGCCATTAGCGGCAGCAACGCCTGCAGCAGCAGAAGAAGCAGCAGCAGCAGCAGCAGCAGCAGCAGCCAGGAATGAGGCCTTGAATAGTTTCGCATAGCATAAAGGCAGCAGCAACAACACGAGCAGCTACTGCAGCAGCAACAGCCGCAGCAGCAGCAGTTACAACACCAGTTGCAGCGATAGCAACAGAAGAAGCTGCTGCAGCACCAGCAGCAATAGCAGCAGCAACAGCAGCAGCAAAAGCAGCAGAC